AGAGAAGAGAGAAGAGAGAAGAGAGAAGAGAGAAGAGAGAAGAGAGAGAGAGAGAGAGAGCGAGCGCGCGAGCGAGCGGGGGGAGCGAGGGAGAATGCGAATTCCTGCAGGCGGAGCTGATGAAGAGGAGCCGCTGGATGCTGTGGATGAGGAAGACCTTTTCTCAGCAGTGCAGCGGGAGGGAGCCGAAAAGACCAAACATCGACAGTTCAAAGAGGACGTTCAAAAGGTGCCAAGTTCAAAAGCACTTCAAACGGTGTCGGGTTCCTTCTTTCACGTAGATGGGGTTGGGCTTGTGGATGAGAACGTGGTCCGCTCCAACCCATGGATGCTGAACAAGGCCAGCATGCAGACACCACAGAACTCCGGCTTTCTGAGTACACAACCGCAAGGGGCACCAGCGGCGCCAGCGGGAGCTGCTTGCGATGGCTCAATGGTGCTCAGCACCGCACCTGTATCGCAAGGGGCCGGGGCGCAAGCTCACCAGGCCTCTCAGGGGGGCCCACCAGGCGCGCAAGCCTCGCAAGGCTCGCCGGTGTGGGCGATGCCCGCGACCCCTCAGATCGCTCCGGGCATGGCTGTGGTGCTGGATGGCCTTACCAATACACCACACTTCAATGGTCTCAGTGCCATGGTGGAGTCTTATGATGCGGAGACCAGTCGCTACAATGTGCAGTTGCCCATAATGGACCGCCGAGTCTCTTTTTGTTGTGCGTTTGAAGCATGCAAACTTCCTGGACATGTGGTCCGAAACACAAACCTAGATCTTAGATGTGTGAAAACGAAGCAGACTGCGAGCTTGACACTGAAAGGGACAAGGCAGTATTGCACTCTTTTTGGCCTTGCCTGATACCCTTCACACTGCAGGACAACTTTGGAGCTTATCAAGTAGCGAAGATCCGACCTGAGAACCTGCGAATTGATTACCGGCCCTATTGCCAATGACGAACGCCACCTGTGAAATACCACAGGATGGCCTGCATCGAATTGACTCTGTGTAGAAACACCTGGACGATCGTACCTTGCTGACTTTGTTTCCTCAGTGTCCTCGAAGACGCTCTGCGACGGGTGCTGATCTGACCTGTGTTAATCAGAGCCATTTGGGGCTGAGGACCTAGTGCAAGGCCACTTTCCTAACAGAGAAGAAGCATATTTTGCGACCAGGATGTTGGCAATTCTTTGCAAGGACTGCTTTCAGCTGAGGTGGTGTTATGATTCTCATAACATTTTCTGTTGAAGTAAGCACGATGAACATGTGACCTGCACCCAGACGAAAGTCGAAGCCTGCAGCCCCAAAACCTGATTTTGCACTGCATGTTCCTTGTTTCCCTGTTTTTCACCGTGGTCAAACGCTACCACGAAACTGCTCAAGCCATGCGGTGATCCAGTATAGAAGCACTGTACATAGCCTTCGCAATTGAAGGCAGGTGTGATATCGCCCATTGGCAACTTTCCTGCCAGCACTTTCTGTATCAATAACCACATGGACTGTCCAGCGCGGTGATTTAAGCATCACACGCGAGAAGTGCCAAATTGGATTTGGGACAAAGGAATTTGTATTTGGGGGGCTCAGTTTTGAAATCAGGAATGGGCCCCCGCTGCACAGTGGAGAGCTTTGTCCACTGAGGCCATGGGGGGATACAGAAGCATGCGCTGGTCCTTGGCTTACATTGAACAAAAGCTGCTTTGGAGCCAGCTGCAATGGAATTTTGCGCAATACGAACAGGTGTCCATTTGTCCTCCAGTCCCAGCTGTTCTGCAGCCGCACCAGAGGAAGTGATCGGGAGCTCAGAACCTCTTTGTCTGTGTGCGGCAGATGAGCCAGTCGGAGCACTGGAAGGTCAAAGACCTAAGCCTGCGCTTGAACTGTATCAGGACATCAGGACCTATCAGGAGTGAAGTTCGGTGTTGATCCGGTGAAGTTCGGTGTAGGACAGTGTAGGACCCTCCTTCTGGTCGCACCTAGGCGGACCCCCGAGCAACTGATCGTCTTGGCTCGGGCGGCTGCGGAGGGCGAACGATTGCGGCAGGTGCGTGGGCAGTGCTGCAGTGCTGGATCGAGCGGTGTCATCAAACAGAGAGAGAGAGAGGCGGCTGAACTATGTATAGAGGGTTTGGACTTGCTGTGGTCTAAGCCAAAGCCTCAGACCTGTGTGTGCTTGTAGGTCCTGGATTCTCGGATGACATGAAACAGACAGGCGGTTTAAAATGGCGACGTTGGTGACCAGGCTGAGGTGCCAAGGCTACAATCCAAAACTCAAAGCTAGCAGCTATACTGTGCCCAGCTACGCCAAGGGCCAGGTGTTTGCCAAATTTCTTTTCTCAGGCTTAGATTAGGTGGGTTCAGATGAAAAGTCTTGCAAGCTTTAAACAATGAGGCTGTGCCGTCCAGTGTCGGGGACTCAGACTGACTCATTTTTTGCCAAGCGATGCAAGGATTGAAGAGGACACCCAACGACGACTCCCTGACGCATCAACGACGCAACTTTCAATTACCAAAACTGGTAACCCATCCATTGGACACCAGTTCGGGAAGCTCAGCACTTAGGCCAGTCCCTGCCCGTTGGGAACTCAGCGAATCCTTTTCACTCAACTCGAAGCTGCATCCGCCCAGGTTCGGTGAGCCTTGCAAGCAGCAGCTCATGTTCAGCCCCTGTCAGCACCCAAACTGACGACAGGTGTCCCTGGAGCCTAAACTCAGAGTGTCTCCAGTGTCTCCTAGTAGCGTCCTTGCTACTAGAAGCGATGGCCTCCACCAAATAGTGATGTCCTCCAACCTAAACTCAGAGTGTCTCCAGGTTTGGCTTTGTTTTAGGTTCAGACTTCAGCTTCGATTTGGCGCTTCCGGGCGAGACCTGCGGAGGCCACGTGCCGTGACGAATGGAACCGGATCCTGTTGCAGATTTGAACTTGACAGGGTGCAACTGGAGATGTGCTGGTTCCTGAAGAGTCTTCCGGCATAGTGTCGGGGCCTCTTGCGAGCCAACCGAAATGCCTCAAATTGATCAAGTCAGGAACAAACACGTTCAAAGAAATCCAAGCTGAGGTGTGAACTGCTGTGCGTCAGGGCCAGTGTGGAGATCTCAGATGCCAAGAAAGACATGTGTTCAAGTCGTTTTTTGCCACCAAGCTGTGTGTCCACGAAGGCCTACGCCCAGATGCAGCAATATGCTGATGCCCTGGTGGACGCCCTGATGCCCAGATGCAAAGCTTCCCCCTCCACCTTGGCCTGGGGTTTTTGAGCAGAGAGCAGAGCCAGGCAGAGACGGTGAGCGGGATCCAACCAACCTGCGCTTCTGGCAGCTGGGATGCAGATGGGGAATCGTTTAGTTTACAGTACAGCTTAAGTGAAGCTGAGCAAAGTTTTATATATATATATATACATATATAGTATATACAAATATACCCTCATCTTCAACTACTAACGTAAACTCCGGCGCGAATGCGTACTAAGTTTAATCAGGGTAGGTAGCGTACCTATTTCAGTACTAGGTTTACTCGAGGTGAGATGATTGCATTACGTCGTTGCTGGTTTTTGAACGTAGTTGTGAACTCCTAGAGTAAACTTCGTATCTTCTCAGATCCTAAGGTTACTAACGTAGTTGGAGGCTCTCGGTATATACAGATTGTGCCTCTGGTACTATAGTAAATGTCTGATCAGCGGGGC